AATTTTCCCTATATGTAACGTGAATAGAGAGAGTTCTCCTCACTTCTCTCTCTGAATTTCTTCTTCTGTTCTTTTCTTTTCATGAATTCATCCATCCCCTTAGTAAGATAGCCCTCGTGTGCATTTTGAATTCAAATAACTTAACCTAACATCCACAGTTCTCACTAAATGCAATATTAAAAAAAAATTTTTAATTCACCTGGAATACTCACAGCTCTTCTCATAATGCGGTAATTTTAAGTGATCGTGAACTGTCAATAGTTATATGGGAAGCAAAGATTTACAGTGATATGTTATTTCAAGAGAGCTTTTCTAGTCCGGAGCGAACTGTAAATGACTGCTGTTAGGACTGCTTTGCCCACAAATGGCCAGATGGTAAAAGTTGTTGAAAACTGACAGTTTAAACTAGGTTCGATTCCCAGCGAATGGGTTAGATCCATGGATATTTTCATGTTTTCCACGTATGTAACATGAATACGAGTCAAGTTCTCCACGAAGGCATCCCTCCCTTTAGGCAGAAAGCACTCACGTGCTTAGCCATAGTAAAATAAACCAAACCAAACTGTTAGGATTGCCGGCCGTTTGAAAAGGGTTTATGTTGGCAATTTTTAAATACTCCTGGTGCCGTTTACAAAAGGGAGGACATAATAATGAAGTAATCTAAAAATAATATGTACTATGGCCAATTTATAGAACTAAATCTTCACTGTCAATGCTAAAACTCAACTGATTTCAACATGACTTCAATTTTAAAAGGCCCAGCAATTATTTATGCATTTCTTTTTTGAACATCCAATCGTACAGAAAAAGCATTGAGGTATAAAATATATTACTTTTTTAAACAAACAAACTAAAAAAGAGGAAAGAAAAGAAATAAATAAACAGGCTTATAAAATATGTTGCAGTAAAATTCCAATAATAAGCATAATTTAGGACCAAGGCTTGCTGATTTTTTTCATTAAATTTGCATTGCATGCACATGAACAACTAATGCAGTGGTTCTCAACCTCTTTTTGCCCCATGCACCCCTTTTACTGTTACTAGATGATCAGTTCCTTCTCTCCTTACCAAAACTTGAAAAATGCATTTATTTAAATTTAGATTATTTTTTAATATGCTTTAAAAATTAAACAGAAAAAGTATAGAAAATGTTTATAAATACCAAAACTTGAATAAAAGTGTTTTATATATATATATATATATAAACTAAAATTAAATAGTTGACAGGTAACTAAAAGGCTGACTTAATCCCCCAGAAGGGGAGTTCGCTGATTGTTGAGAATTCCTGAACTAAAGCATCCATCAGTATGCAAAATTCTGTTATCAAGGCAACATAAACAAATAATTTATTTATTTTCTTTTTAAACTCATTTAACTGGATTTCTAGATTGTATTCTTCAGACAGATAATATGCTTACATTAAATAGTTAATCAATTCTTTCATTATAAAAACAAGAAAATGGATTTCTTAAAAATTATTAAGATTTTTTTGATAGCTAGTAAAATTATTGATAGCACATAGTTATCTCATTTAGCAAAATTAACTAAAAGCAGAAAGAAGAGAAAAATAAAGAATATAATAATGTATCATATTTCATTTGACTACACTCAAACTCCTTTTAGTGCAAAGAGGACCATATAAAAGAAAATGCATAATAAAAAATATACTGAAACTTCATAAATAGTTATAAAATACATTGCTTGCAATACATTAAAAAATTAGTTAACAGGGACACTTGTTCTGAGCTGACTTTTTTGGTGATACAGGGCAATTAGTATTCAATTTTTGTGACAACAGTTGTTTAATTAGCTGCTTTTATACACTGTTAACAAATCTTTTTAAATTGCATATTACTTTGATGCTATCAGTTAACCTATTATATTTTTTAAAAATTACTTTTTATTCATATTATGCATTTTTATGGACCTTTTTAAATACACTGTATAAAAAATATCACAAAAAAGGTCCTCCCTCCCCCCCAAAAAATGAGCACATAAAAACAGGTTAAGTGCATTTAAAGCCTCAACAGAAAACATTTAAATGTCATTATTATTTTTTAATTGCAGTTATGTCCAGTAAATGTACTGCCTACTAGGTTCAATAAAGAAATTAAATATTTTTTCTCCTAATTATATCACTCCATCTACCAGAACTGGTAATATTAGAGATAAATATCTACGCTTTTCAAATGAAATATTTACTAGGCTTGAGACTACTTTGATGTTAAATTAATTAAAAAAAATCATCAACATATTTTGTTGGGAAAATTACACTTTCCATGGAAGATATTAAAAAGATATTTAGAATTATACCTTCCATCACGCACAGGGAAAGAACTTTACTACAGATAAGGAATAAATCCAAGATTTTAAAATTAACAAATATTTTACAGAATTGCATTCGTGTTTTGAATTGTAAGTAGAGATACGTTATATGGGGGGGGGGGGCTTGACAGAGCCCTTTGTTTCTTTTTGCTTCTTTATTTATGCCAGAAAAATATACGTTTTGCATAACATTTGATTAAATTAGACTTTCTATGAACCTTACTCACTGAACTTCTTGCATTAGTCTGAACAAACTTTAATCTCAACAACAATCATTCGCCACTGCACAGCATATTTGAGATTTAAGACAATATCCTTAAAGGAAATAACTTTGAAAAAGTTTAATGCTAAATCTTAAATAAAAATTCTTTGTCAAAATTACTGCTCAGCCATAGAATTTTCTACAAGATCAACTGATATGAAAGAAGAAAAATCATGTATGACAGTTTGAAAGAATTATATATATATATATATTTATGCACAATTTTTTGCTTTTTCTGTTTTTGTAAAAAAATAAAACATTTAATTACATTCTGATATTCCACTTGCTTAAGATAAAATGCATATTTTTTCTTAAAATTTTCACAACTCACTGATGAAACTTTAGAATCAAATGCTTCACTTACTAATTACCAGAAATGAAGTTGTTAAATATTCAGTAAGGATGATTTTTTTTTTTTAACATCAGCCACTTTTGACCACTGATGTTATTAAATAAATAAAGTTCCAATATGTTTGAAGCACTCTTACTTATCAGCAGTTATATATAATTTCTCCATGTAGAATATAAGCAATCTAAAGAAATTGAACCATTAATTCATCTTATCTCCCCAATAAAGAGAGATATAAAAGAAACAATAAATCAGCTTTTTCTGTATTTTAGGTTAATGAATGTTTTCAGCAACAAAAACTGCGGTAGACTTTGAACAGTGGCTTTTTAAAAATTAATAGGCCATGATTCCAAATTTTATTTCTCTTCCTTCTCAACATATAACAAAATGGCATCCCTCCTGAATTTTTATTTTATTTAAGTGCCATATTGCTGAGAAAAGGTAAAACTGAAAACTGCAAATTTAGATTTTCATATGCTGTAAATTAAAAATTTATTTTACCTTCATAAATAGGTATACAATCAACTCTTTATTAACTGGAAGCTATTCCACCAATAACATGTTGGTTTGAAGTAAGCATATAAATTGTTTCTCTAAGAATTATCTACTAATAAAACCACATTATAGTAACATATAAAAAGAAAACTTTATTAAATAAGATTAATCATAACAAGTTTTACTGCATTCTCCAAAACCATAATCTCTATAGATGCTGGATACATTTTTAACTCAATTGTTTACAATCTAAGAAACTATCAACGTTGCCAAAACAATAAAATTTAAAATTATACTTTATAAACAAATACTATCGTAAAATATTTTTCCTTCATAAATTCATATTAAAGCCAATGCTTTATTAACTGGAAGCAATTTAACCAATAACAAACTAAGCCCTGAAAAGAAAGTTAACTTTGAATAAGGAAAGAAACAAAAAGCATTCAGATTGAATATGGAGCATATGAATGATGAAAATATTGCTATCACAAGCCATCAGCATAAAATAAAACTGTCAATGGAAAGACTAAAAAGTTAAAATAAAATAATAATAATAATAATAATAAAAAAAAAAAAAACCACTGATTCGTTACACTATTTGCTACACACTAACCCTATTCATTAGACTTGACCACTATGGGCACAAAAAAGAAAGAGAAAAAACATTCTTGGGATAACAGAACTGATAGCAGATAATGTTTGCTAAACAACTTGAAAAATGAAGTTCTAACACCCTTTATTACATGATTTTGAACTTGGTAGCTTTGTTCAAGTTCTCTCATAAATATTGTCTTTTAATGCTATTCTTCATGTCTAACAATTTTTATTCCGCTATTAACACAGTATTCTTCTTGTTTTGAATACAGAATTTAATTTACTTAATCAAACAAACTTAATTAACTTCCTGATTTAATTGCTTGAAAATATGGGAAAATTTTTAATACTTTTTTTTGTCAACTATTACACAGGTTAGTCATAATTCTTCGGACTTTGTTTTAACGACCTTTAAATTAACTGTGGAACATTATAACCAAATTTAATAGTTATACACATAGAATTATTACATTTAGTAATACATTTCACTGTGCTGACATGATGATATTTAACTTTCAGCTCTTTGGGTCATGAGATTTCAAATGCATCTTGGTTTTTGATGGTAACATTCTGAGACAGAAGTATTCCCCACCAATTAAGAAACATTGAGGTAAACATATACAACCCATAACTTACGATGTTTATCACAAACTCTGTCCACATAATTTTTATTTACATCTTAGGTTTAACAATAAATAACAATACCTTATCTTAATTCGGAACCTATCTTTCCATGCATATGTGTAATGTAAGGAAACACAGTAAAACACAGTTAGCAATAATGACAGCCGTAATGCATACATTTTTTTTTATCATATCACACTTTATAATCAAATGCCATTATTATTTCCAAAAGAAATTATCACTTTTTTGGGGGGAGATTAGCTCTTTTTGCCTATTCAGAGTTCAGAATCAATGTTCTTAATGAAAAAAAAAAAAAAAAAAAAAAAAAAAAAAAAAATAAAAAAAATTTACCTTCCTGGTCGATAGTGAAAGGCTGGTCCCTTGTGAGAATTTCATATTTGCATATATCACTGAATTTGGCTGAGCAGTCATTATCATCTGCTTCTACCTGAACAATTTTATCATACAGCCTGTCCTCATCTGCATCCGCACTATACGTCTCCTGAACAAACTCAGGAGCAAACTCATTCATGTCTTCTACAGTTAGGTGAACAGTTACACTGCAAAATAAAAATTCATACAATAAGTTTCCCAGAAATATCAGAATGCTTTAATTGATTAGCAACACCATTAATTTTTTATTAATTGGTATATTTAAGTTTTAAATATTAACTAAATAGAATGGTTCCCCCAGTAAATGTCAAATAAACGTAAAAATTACTAGTTTTAATTAAATTAGAAAAAGATCCATCTAATTTCATAAATAAATAAAAAAAACTTGCATTTGATTCATGTACTTAAGAAAAGAAAGAGGTGAAAGCTTACTTTTCGGATGTCGTTTTGTCGCATCCAACAGCAGCAATGTCAAACTTGTAAGCCTTCCTCTTCTCACAGTTCAATTCTTTCTTAGCAACAAGCTTAGCTTCTCCTTTCTCTTTGTCCACAATTTGCACCATGAAAGGAATTTCACCATGATGCTTATTTGAAATAATAAAACTGCATATCTCCCCTAAAACAGAAGGATACCAATGACACATCTCATTAAAAATAATTAAAAAACATGCATATGTATATTCCTAATAAAAAATATGGGTAAAACCCACTGTATGAATATTCGTTTTAAAGAAAGACTTAATCCTTTTCCAAACTAGCATAAAAAATCTGCTGATAATTTTTCTTTTTATGAAAAATGGTGAAAAATGAAAAGATATTCAGCACTTGTTTTATGCACTGACTAAGAACCTATAAGTTTAAAATAATTTGAACTCCCATAACAAAATGCATGGTTAGGGGGCATGTTCATAGCTGTCCTTATCAAGCTGCTACAGGATCTTATGGCAGAACACTCTTTTTGGAACCCTTACTACCAATTTTCTTCATTTTAACAGGTTAAACAAGAAAGAGGGAGATTCAGCATGATTTGGCGATCCTCTGATATTCGTTTTCTTGACATGGTCCTAAAAAAGGCTAGGCAGTAATTAGGCTCTGGCTTCTTAGCAAAGCTTTTCAGATTAGATAGAGCACAGAATTTCAACTTTTGATGTGAGACCAGGGAGGCTCTAAAATACATTGTAAATACATTGATCTGATTGATAGAAATAACAATACAGAATGCTAATAATCCTTTCTCTTTATCTAATCTCTGATGATGGTTTATCACTGTCACTGCAACTACCTACATTGCAATTTTTTGTTAATTATTTCTGATCTATCGAATTTTTATATTATACAATCAGTGCAGTTGAAGTGCTATCATATTATTGTTCTTTTTCATAACAAGTTTACTAAGTTCATTAACTGGATGAAAGAAGACTTACAATATTAAACAAGTAAAATGTAATTTGTTACATTTTAGATTAACCTCGGTTGAGGGCACAGAACTCGCAACTTTTGACAAAACTTCATTTTACAACAGTTGGAAAAATTATATTTAACAGAGAATGTTTTTTGCTTCAATACTGACTAAGAAACTAAAGCCTGTTGTAATTTTTAACTGAAGTCATCCTTGAATTTCCAAATTTAAGATTAAATAAATTTTAAAATAAATCTGTAACTTACCACCTCCAACTCGTATCCTGGGTGAAACCTCGACACTTCGTCCATTTTCACGGGCAATAGCATGGTATCCCACATCAGGTTTTACATCCTCAAAGTGAAGCCCTAGAAGAAAAAAACACATGCTCCATGACAAAGATATCTTTACATAAGACTGTAAAGTTAAGAAGTAAATTCAGCACCTTTTTCACTAAAAGAACAGATTACACAGTACAGTCAAAAGTCTTTAATCCGGACGTCCATAATCCGGAATGATCTATAATCCGGACCTCAAAGCTACAACATTTCTGCGCATGCGCTAATCCGGACCTCAAAGCGACAAACTTTCTGCGCATGCGCTAATCCGGACCTCAAAGCTACAAACTTTCTGTGCATGCGCATTTAATGTATAACGGACGGTATACGCTAAGCTAAAATTATCTAATTATCTATTTCATTTAATGTTGCAAATTGCGTTGTTCCTTAATCTTCTAATTGGATCCGGCTTATTACTTTTTGCAGACTGTTAGAGCAATTTTATAACAGTAAGCTTGAACTTTCGATTATGTCAAAAAGAATTTCCGATTCTGGAGCTACCAAAGGATCTACAAAGCAAAAGCATGTTTCGATGTCTATCAAACAAAAAGTGGAATTGCTGCAAAAAAATGGATAAAGGCATATCCTTTGATTCTCTAATCATTCCGAAACATGTTTATCAATTTCACGCTGCTCTGCGGGGGGGGGGGGACGCGGCGCGCATTGAACTAGAAGTTGATCTGTCAGCACTATCCTTATCTTCAGAGCAGATGTTTTTATTTTATTCAGCTTGTAATTCCTTACTAAATGTAGTATTTCATCTCGATGTATTCTGTCTTTGATATGATTTAAATCAAATTCCTCGTCATTATAAATATCACAAATACACATCAAATAGTTTTCTGGTTGCAATTTTCTAATTTCGACTATGCGCAATGTATGCTTTACGCATAAGAGCGTTGAAAGAAATGTTTAATAAAGTAAACAAATAAATATAAAGCTTTTTTTTTTTTTTTTTTTTTTTTTTTTTTTTTTTGTAAATTTTGATACCCTTTAGATCATAATTGCTCTTTATTTCATAAATTACGGTTTCCCATTTTTAATTTTATAATTTCTGGATGCCATCTTACCAGATTTAAACTGATGATCTATAATCCGGAAAAACCGATAATCCGGAATCACCGAAGTCCCGACGAGTTCGGATTAAAGACTTTTGACTGTATTATATCTCAAGAGTTTCTTCTTAAATAAAAATACGGTATTACTCATTATTACAGTAGCCGTTTTTTTAACGCCAAGCTGGCGACAAGATTATAGCGAATTGTTAAAATTCGTATGAAAAAGAAGAAAATACGATAATAATACGTGGTTTATTCCTAGACCTTCCCGTCATGTGGAAATTATAAAATATCGTGGTTAGGAATGCCAGCACTTCGATGATAGTTTGCGTTGGCGTCGTTAACAAAATTGAGGCCGTAATAATAAGTAAGCGTGAAAATATCTGCTACAGCTAATTCACAGAACTAAATTTTCGCCAAAATTTCTAAATGCTAAAACGCTAATCAGACGGAATTTCAGTTTTAAAATTCAAATCTGTTTCTGCATTTGGATGTAAAATCGTATAGTAAGAAAAATATAAATATAATAAAAAACGTATTTTACAGTTTGAACAAACAAACAAAAAGGTAGGGGGAGGAAGAAAGAAAATAGTATAAATATATAAAGGGGCTTAAAAATATGTTAAAGTTGAATTCTAATCATGTATGGAACCAAGGATTGTGCAGATTAGAGAATTTCACGGATTTTACAAGTCATGTCTTCCTTGATTTATATTTCCCTTTCTAATTTTTACATTCAGTTTGGATAATCAGTACATAAACAAATAATCAAATGTAACTCATACATTACCAATCATTTAATCAAGATTTACTGAACGTAACAATATAATATATATATATAGATATATATATATATAATAATATTAACTTATTTACTAAATAATATTGAATAATTGATTATATTATCTCCTAAGTTTAATTATAGTAGGATTATCTTAAAACAGTGAATAACTTACTAGTATGGATTCACTCTTTTAAGATAATCCTACTATAATTAAACTTAGGAGATAATATAATCAATTAATCAATATTATTTAGAAAATAAATTATTCTTAACTTACTTTGCAGCAATTGCGCAAGTAGTAGTAACTTGTTTTCGCACTAAATGACTTTAAGATCATACAACATAATATAACTTATTGATATACACGGAAAATAATTACAGTACAAGCAAAACAAACAGAGGGGAGAAAAAAGGATTAAATGACAGTGAATTTTTTTGAGCAAATGAAGAATCCTCTAATAAAAACACATCGAATTATTTTGCGGAATATATATTCATCTACGAAATTACTTTTAATGTAATTTTTATGTTTTTAAATGATAGAAAAATAAATAAACGAATATAATATTTACAAAAGCCCAGCTCTAGTTTACCCTAAACTAAATCGCTATAAAAATTCTTCCATTATATTCCATGGATATGCAGTTGAATCAATAACACATAAAGCAGCTTATAAAAAGTGTTAGAATTCAAATTTTGGATTTATTAAAATATTTCTTCGATTCTAAACCATTCGTTACAATGTCTTTCATTTCAAAAAGTATTTTAAGAGGCCTATTTTAATGAATCTATTCTTTTTTGTAACTTATGTAAAGAAGATTGCTCATTGTGAGGAAAATAAACACTTCAGCTAAAAAAGGTGCATGTGAGCTAGAACTCAACGTCTGAAAAATTGTGGGTAAATAAATTCCCTACACATGTTTCCACATAAACTCAAAATTAATTTTAAAAGACAACATTATATACTATGAAAGGTTATGATGAGTATAAAACGAAACACATGCAGCTATTCACGATACATGTTAAATTTAAAAAAAAAAATTAAAGCTTTCAGATTTTATATTACGCCCAAAGGAGCTTTTTTTTTTTACGTTTTGTGTGTTACTTTTATTTATTAAATATCATGTTCTTCGCACTTAAACCATAAAACTCAATTTAACAGCAATATCGCAAAATATTTAAAAAGCATATCTTTAGAATATACGATACACAGTCTGGCGTGCTGGAGATTAACCCCCCCCCTGCGTATAGTGTTGCCATTGCTAGCTTTGAAATCGTTGAGTTAAAAAATTCATAAATGCTTTACAAAATATGAAATAGATAATAATTCCAAATTTGGGTTTCCAGATGCTCATATTCGGGTGAAGACGTACGTTATTCAAAATTTGATGGCTCTAGTACCGTTGTTTTATTTCAATGCGAGAAACATACATACATTTATACATACATACAAAAAGCACTGAAGCATTCCCAAAATACTCAATTAATTCAACTATTTAGAATTTTCTGGGATTCTTGCTTTTCTGTTTTCATGACAAATGACATCTCATGTGGGGCTTTGGAGTCGACTCGGATGTTAGAAGCAATATCCTAACTCAGTAGTCAGCAAACTTATTACCCAAAGAGCCAAATATGAATATTACAACCATTTTAAAAAAAATTAGGAGCCAAATCTGCTTGTTTAGTAAACTTTTATTACACTAAATAAAACTAAATTTAATATTTAATAAATATTTATTTATGCGAATAATGTGCTTCCATATCCTTGGAAAGTTTGAGTAAGTCAGGTTTGTATGTTGTTTTTAATTTTAGGTATGATTCCAAGTTCTCATCAATAAGACGACTTCTCAGTTTACTCTTGATAATCTTCATGCTTGAAAAAATTGTTCTCATATATATGTAGAAACGAAATTTCGATTGCTTAATTAACGAAATAGAATATTTATTTTCGGATCTCTTCCGATTGAAAAAACTAGTAGAAGGTATTCTAAACAGACCTCTTTCTATATCTTATATATATATAAACGAAATTTCGATTGCTTAATTAACGAAATAGAATATTTATTTTCGGATTTCTTCCGATAGAAAAAACTAGTAGAAGGTATTCTAAACAGACCTCTTTCTATATAAGAAAATTAGCGAAATAATGACAGCTTCAATTATAATTTTTTTCATACAAGAAAATTTGGTGGAGGTGCATTATCGCCAATTGCAGACCAACCGTCAGCCACTGGCTGTATTCAGATACGCACTTTTACCATACCAAAGACAAATGGAGTGTCCAAAGACAGGGAATAACGACCTTCGTCGGCACTTAATAAAACCTTACGGCAGCATAGATAACAGCAAGACAAGAGGATTCGTGAAAATTAACGTTTTGATGTTTTTCTAGCTGGTAAAACATTTCAGTTGATTATTTTCTTTATTTTCAGTTAGGAATAAAAAGGGAAACAAGTACATAAAATAAATTCTGACACAAAAAACCATATCCATCTATTCTATATAGAACAAAATTTGTTCCGAATCGCGCAAGCGTGTCAGTGTTCACAGTCGCAATATCTCTTTAAAAAGTATCCTTAAAAGGCATCCATACTGGTTATCTTATTGAACCAAACATTCGTCCTGAACGTATTTGAGATTGAAAATACAATTCCTCGTGACAGAAAGACATATTTACCCCTAAAGTAACATTGAACAATTTCCTTAGAAGAGTCTGCAAAAAGAACAATAAAATACATTTCTGCTACATGCGAAGACGAAGGTACAGCATCGGAAAACCCCGGTCACGTGCCTTAGGCAAAATCCTTATGCAAGGAAATATAATTTAAGAAGGTAAAGATGTCTTATACAAGAATAAGATAGGCTAAGGAGAACAGGTTTGAAATCATCAGAAACAGAACATATGCAAGTATAACGAAGAATTTATCATTTGAATACCAATCGATATTAATAATCGATAAGAAGATTTCGGAAACGATGGCAGGTGAAATTCTCCTTCGTGTATTGACTATTGCTGCAATAAGGGTAACTATTATCTTGAAAACGAAACGATAAAAATACGTCTTATTTTAAAATAAGAAAACGGGCTATGTGGGTTTGGGGAATTTCGACTACGCACGCGCTCTGTCGACATTTTATTCTCTTCTTTCTCTGGCAAAGGTAAATAAAATACGCCATTTTTAAGGCAG